CCTGTTCGTCTGCATAGTTCCTTAGCCCAGCCCTGTACCCATCTAGCCCCCAGTTTCCCTACTCAGCTTGGTCCTCATATGGCCCATCCAGTATTGTCTCATTCTCCCCTTCCATCTGGCCCTGCCCTTTGCCCATCCAGGGTCCACTCCCTTACCTGACTGGGCCTCGCGCTATACAGTGTCACCCCATCCTCCGCCCGCAGAGTGCCCCCTCGTGCATCTGGCCTGGCTGCAGTCACCCAAGACAGATGTTTCTGGCAGCTCTATGGCTCCCAGTTCGTGTTTCTAACTTGTACAGTCAGAATTAGAAGCTAATAAGTTCCTTCTCCTGTCTCTGGTGCCCTCCCCCCCAATGTGCCATGCTGCTCTGGAAAAAGAAACAGGGAGCAGTGGGGTCCTGGTCCGAAGGGGGCTTTCAATCCTCAAAATGGATTTTACCTGTCTCTGAAAGCCTTCTCCCCCCACTCCCACATCCCTTTCTCTCCAGGGAAATCAGTCTAAAAGGGGCTAATGGAACAATGTCCCTCTCTCATTCTCTCTCTCTTTCTTTTTATTAGCATTTGTGGAATTTATTCCCAAACTCTCCTAATCTTTCGTACACAACCATTTGATTTGCATAACCCAGCCCCCTCTCATAAAAACTGGCTGCTAGTTTAATTAAAAAATGTAAATTTGCTGTCATCTCGGGGCCTGGTGAATTAGGACGACATTGGCATTTTTTATTGCTGAAGACGTCCAAACTGATCCAGTCCGCGTTAAACCGAGGGGGACAGTACCATGTGGGACTTTGGGGTGTGGGTTCTGTCCCATCCCTCCCCAAATAAAATCTCCTGTGCCCCCGCTCTGGCTAGCAAAGTACAGCTCAGGACATGGATTGTCCCAAACCACCTTCTGGTTGGCCAACCAGCAGTCTGGGCCTTTTTGATGATGGCACTCCTGTGAACTGACTCCTGGTTCGAAACCCACCACCCTAAAAAAATAGAGACGACAAAATATCCCTGTGGACGAAAAGAGGCAAAAGGGGTGGAGGTGGGAGAGAAGAGGGGAAAGACAGTGCCCCTCTCTCCAAAGTCCCAAGCCATGCTATCTGCACCAGCTTGATATTTTCCAGACACTTTCTGTCAACTTTTGAGTGTGAAACCTCAACAGGCAGCCATTCCACAGCCCAGATTTACTTTTTGATGGTAGAAAGTGAGTCAAAAGTAGGCCCAAGACACAAGGGTAGCCCAGCTATTATGGAAAAATCTGTGAGAGTTTATCGGTAAGGCTGCTGAGAACTGACTAGAGTATGAGAGCCCTGCTGTAGAATTCTACCCATTCAGTCAAAACCAAAAGAAACTGCAGAAAAGTTCCCCATGTGTACGGCATTTCCCATATTGGTGGATAGCAGACAGGGGAGAAGGGCAAACAGCTCAGGGAACCATACAAAGAGAGACTAAAGGTTCAAAAATTACATAATAAATGCTTGCTCCCTCCCAGCTTGAGTATCTGTATTGATCACACCCACTTCCACACTGGTTTCTCTATCAGTGAAGTAGGCACTATTTTTTTTTACAGTGGAAGGATACAGTACATTGCATTTACATACATACCCTATTTTTTTTGTTCTAAGTATTGTCTAAAATCCAATAACAAGGGTGGTGTCCCCACCCCAGGGGATATTTCCAGGTTTATTTGAAAACAGCATTTTAACACAATGAAAGTACAAAACTATCCCTCAGTGGAAAATTGGGTGAATCCAACTATCTCAGTATTAATTGCCCCCCACTCCCCCCCGGGTATCTAGGCTCCTTGTCCCCAGTCTGAGTGCAGTTCCTCGGACTGAGGTTGATCAGATGATGAAAGAGTCCCAGGGAAAGTGATGGGAGCCCAGTTGCTCAGGATATTTAGAAGCACACTCCTAGACAATCCCATGTAGGGAACAATCCTACCCTGGCCCCAGGTGGATCAGTTGGCCTGGGAGATCTTTCCCACTTTTAACTTCTGTGGAAGTTTCTGATCCTAGAGGTCCCATACGTGTATCAACTCAGTGTACAAAGCCCTTAGAGCAGTGGTTCTCAAACTTTTATACTGGTGACCCCTTTCACATAGAAAGCCACTGAGTGCAACCCCCCTTATACATTAAAAACATATTGTATATATTTAACACTATTATAAATGCTGGAGGTGAAGCGGGGCCTGGGGTGGAGGCTGACAGCTAGCGATCCTCCATGTAATAACCTTGTGACCCCCTCAGGGGTCCCGACCCCCAGTTTGAGAACCCCTGCCTTAGCAGGACCAGGCCTCCAGACTTTACACATTGGGTCCCCATTGACTTCCCTCTCTCTCTCATGAAATGCCATTCAGGTACTGCCCTGGGGACGCAAGGCTTAAGGGACTGGAGAGAATTCAAGTCACGATGACCGAGGGAGGTAAACCAGCTCTCAAGAAGGTAATGGTTAGAGGTGGTGATCATGGGGTAGGTCTTTACCCCGTGATCACAGTGGATGGATTCACCCACACGCAGATTGTAATGCTGACCTAAACAGATCTCCCAGATCCTGATTTCCATAGCTTATCAGCACTCTGAGCTCCCGTACCAGAGCGTGGAAGGTCTGTGTTACCTGCAAGTATGGCAGGGAAGCCCATGCATGCGTTACACTTGCGTGACTGAGGAGGGGCTACATTGTCCCATCTCCTACATCCCAACGGTGCAGGCCAGAGGGAAGTTTCCATTGCTATGAGGATGGGACAGGGAGGAGGAGGCCCGGCGTTGGTTACTGGTGAAGCTGGTTGACTCTGCATGTGAGGGAGCGTTTGACATTGATTGGCTGACGGTACAGCTCTAGCCAGCAGGAGGCATTACCTCTCCAGGAAGGGGAGTTTAAATGGAGAGAGGTCCTGAAACCAGGCCAACCATGGCTGAAAACACCTGGCACAGCTACAATTCAAACCCCCAATCTAGGAGCTGCCACAGTTCCTGGAGATGGGGATTGGGGCGGGGGGGGGCAGAAATCATTGTTTATTTCTCTTTAAAATTATCCACACTCCTTAAATTCACCACATCCTTAACACTGCCCCTGCCCACTCAGCCTCCCAGCTCCTTGGTCTACTAAAGAGAGGCAACAGCACATGCCCAGGCCTGGGCCAACTGAGATCTCAAACCAAGGTGTGCGAGTTTTTGATTCCTGGTATCATTTAAAAAAACAACAACAAAACACCTTATTCTTTTAAAGCAAAATAGCAGAGTTCAAAGTTCAGGCCAGTCAATCATTAACCAGTTTATTACTATCTTATCCCTTGTAAAAATATACTACAATAATTATCCAAATAGTGACAGGATCGCCAGTGCAAGCTGGTTTGGCCCACTGCTGTCATTTAGTTTTTAACAAGGGGAGAGGGGAGTTAAATCATTGAGAGGGACAGTGTTTCACTTTCCCACTAGGACTGGGTCAAAAAAGAGGAGGTGTTGGAACCCCATATAGTGGGAAATGGGGCCTGAGGAATTCCTGACAAACTCCAAACTTGCCTGCTCTGAACCTCCGGAAAAGGCTGTGAAATCCAAGCCCAAAGCCTATCCCAGGCCTGACAACACAACACACCCTGCCTGCCACCAAATCCTATGCTGAAATCACATCCCAGCCTGATACTGGGCCATGAAACCTCACCCCACCCAGATAGTGTCTCTCAATCCCAACCTGTGCCCCAGCCTGACAATAGGCCAAGAGAGCCCATCACACCCTGCCGGACCAACACCAGAACTAAAACCAGAGACTGGATCACAAAATCTACTATCAAAACCGCATCCAGTCCCGATACTGGGCCCCGTAATCTGAAACCAAAACCAGCAAGGAGGGGGCCTGCCATCCCTCCTCCCAGAGCCTACACACCTCGCATGGAAAGGACAAAAACAAACCCATCCCAGATGTGCCCAAGTGAAAAAAAAATACTCATTAAATGTAATAAGCATCCTCTTCATCTGACACTACCGTGTCCCAAATAAATTGAATTCCTTTTCATTTAGACAGCACAGGAACCTGACAAGCAACCTTTACCAACCTTTACCAGAGCTTAGAAGGGGGTAAGACAATTAAAGAAAAAACAACCCACATGACTTATATATTTATATATATATAAAATGCAGAATCATTTCAAAATCCCCACAAACTCCCCCCCCCATCATTCTCTCTCTATCCCATTTATCGGTCCCTCCTCCCCTCTCTCAACCCAGGGTCTCTCTCAGTGACAGCTTCCCAAACAGATCTGGATCTGAAATCAACCAGAAGGAAGAGATCCTCTTGAAGCCAGTTCCCCCCACCCCCTTACTTCATCTGGTTAGAGAGAGAGGCTGGGTTGGGGGGGGGGGGGGGGGAAGCAACTTCCGTAAAACAACTGAAAGAAAAGTGAAAGAGTCTGAGAGTCCCTACCTTGAGCTATACCTGGGGGTCAGGCACCCTGATTCTGAGCTGCTCCCCCAAAACTCTCACAAGCTTCCATACAACATCTAAAGCTCCAGCGGGGGGAACACCCCCACCCCCCAAAAATGATACCCCTCCCCCCATCAGAGTGACGTCACCCCTCCATACACACACACCCCTGGCACCCTCCACTTTCCCAGCACCGGCTTTGGGAACATAAAAAAGTTTCTTCTTCTCCCCACCAAACAGGAAAAAGACAGACAGAAATTAAAATCTCTCTCTCTCCCTCTCTCTCTCTCTCTAAGGCCACCCAAAGCTGATCAGCTGTGCTGGGTAGTTTATTAAACTAAAAGAGAAACTATTTATAGACGAACCAGCCCCATCGGTCGCACCCGCAGGAAAGAGAGCAAGAGAAGAGACACGGGCAGAGGGAGGAAAAGAAAAGAAAAATAAAAAAGAGAGCGGCACCGGGCGAGAAAGAACAAATGAAAGAATGAAAGGGAAAGGGGAGGGAAAAGAAGAGACACAGACAGAAGGGGCTTTTTGTGTGTGTGCAAACTGAAAGAACAAGGGACAGGAAAAGAACAATTGTGCTGTACTTACCATAGTCGGAGAGACGAAAGCCGAATTCACTCAAATAATCAACTTTCATAATACTTAATTAATACCTAATTGCAACTGATTGCTCCCCGAATAACAAGTTGGTTTAAAATACTGATGTCATTGCTTTTGACGGTCCTCCCCAAGAACACTTTGGCAGCAGAGTTCACTGGTGGGGGGGGGTGATGGGGGGGAGGAGAAGTCTGGTTGTCAAAAGTGAAGGTGATTGGCAGGACAGAGCTTGGCCACACCCCCCAGCCTGGCCTTCCCTACTGGCTAGAGGGCAGGTGAAAGATCAGAGTGCCTTCCCCAGCCTCTGCTCACTGCCTCCCAGGGAAGATGCTGAGGGAACCAGCTCCCAGCCAGCGAGCTGAGCAGTTCTGAAAAAAAGCCCAGCCAAGCAGCGTTACCCTATCAGGGCTGCTTGCTAGGGGCTGGCCTTATTGGCTCGCTGCTTTCCCAAACCTTTGGCTCCCCGGGCGGAGAGGCGGGACTCGGGGCCCAAAGAAAAAAGAAAGAAAGAAAAGAAAAGAAAAGACACACGAGGCTGGTGAACGGGAGCCCCTGCGGGAACCAAACGCCAGCAGCCAGGGAGCTCAGTGGCATGGGCTTGAGGGATAGAGATTTAAGGTTCAGTGTCTCTCTCCCCCACCCCATGTACTGATTTAACTGGGCAAAGTGCTGTGCCAGGGGGATGCACCCAGTTGGCGAGATTATGTTAAATAAAAGTTGGGTTGATACTAGCAATAGCGACTGACTTGACTGGAGTTAACTCTGGATTTACGCTGGGATCAGAATCTGACCTGGGTCAAATTCTGCACTGGATTACACCCGCTCCAAAGGGCCAACATCAGACCTGGTGCAGCTGGAGGGAACGCTTTAAATTACTCCAGATTCATGTCAGTGTAAAGGAGATCAGAATCCATCCCCTAGTCTGAAGTCAGTCCGTGGGTGCAGATGAGAGGCGAGTACAGCCCAGGCCCTTCAAAGCGCTAAGCAAACATGAACTAATGGTTGGTTGTTTAGTATTTAATTTAGGGATCGCTCGGCAGAGGAGAACGTAAGATGCAATCGCTTGGGGGGGGCTTTTGGGGTGGAAAGGAGTTGGGTATTTTTCTTCCCTCCTTCCCTAGGATGGGGGAGCAGGGGGCGAGGAGTTCCGGCTTTTATTGTTACTTATTGTTTCTCTCAATGAGAACAAAACCCACCAGTGAGGAGGAAAAAATTATGCAGAAATGTGCCTTTGCATTTGTGTTGCACTCTGGTTTGCTTCACACAGATGGCAGGCATCAGTGGATCAATGCTTCCACGGCACTGGCCCCCTCAAGGCTGCACATGGTCCCCTCTCGCCCCAGAATTGGTACCTATTGGGCCACACTCTGAGCTCAGTTACATGGGTGTAAATCTGGAGTAACCCCATCGGATGGTGTTACACTGGCACAGCTGAGATCAGGATCTGACCTGCTGACTCCAGATTGAGCACAATGGGGTCTGACTGGGGCTCCTAGGTGCTACGGCAATACAAATAATAAAAATAATCCCAGGTGAGCTGCCACATCCCCTTCCCAAAAGAGTCACCTAGAAAGGTTCTGAGTCTTTGCACCAACAGGGCAGCAATATTATCCTGGAGAAGCTTGAACTGAATAAAGAGCCAATGGAACCAAGCAGCTCCCCCAGACTGATTTGGTCACAGGAATCCCTGCAGCTTTAGAGAGAGAAAGGCTGGAGTGAATGAGTCTGAAGGGGTGTGCTGTGTGCAAGGTAGAGTGTCTGTGAGTGTGTGCTAGTGTGAGAGAGAGAATATCTGCATGTGGGAATGAATAGGTGTATTTGTGTGAGAGAGAGCAAATGGTTGTGTTACAGTCTGTGTTGTGTGCGGAGAAGTCTGAGTGTGTAGTGACAATGTTGTGTGGGAGAGAATGACTGTGTATTGGGCAAGGCAGAGAGTGTGCACTAGTGTATGTGTGTGTATGATTGTAATATGGTGTGTATGTACATGAGTGTAATATGGGGTGGGTGCGTGTAGATGAGCAAAATACAGGAAGGTGGCATGTACACAAGTGTAATATGGGGGGTGTACAGGAATGTAATGTGGGATGGGTGGGTACACAAGTGTAATAAGGGGTGTGTGCACACACAGCGTAACATATGTGTGTGTGTGTGTGTACACAAGTGTAACATGGGTGTGTGCGCGCAGTACAAAACAAACTCAGGCCAGAGCAGTAGTGTTCACTCTGACTTGGTGGGTGTTTTACTGGTTTATGTCACAAGCTTTAACATTATTTAAACACACTGGGCCAATCCCACTGCTAGCGCAGGCCTCAGGAAGTCAGTGCCATTACACCAGGGGTATGTTTGGGCCCAACAGGGTTATGGTTTTTGTTCCCTGAATTTCCTCATTTCTTGTTGCTTTTATTTTTAAGTAGAAAAGAATGTTAGGGAGGTTCTCAGAGGCGTGTTGGGTAAACACACACATACGTCTCTTTCTTTAAAACAAACGAACAGATTATTTACCTGATTAAATAGGTATTTTGAACAAGGTTGTGAGCTTTTTTTTTTTTTTTAAATGTCCTGTATTGGGCCATGTGGATTCTGGCAGAGCAGGTCTCTCAGGCAGTGCTTAGGAATAGCCAATGAATTTCCAAGCTACTACCAACAAGGCTGGTGCTATTCCTTAGCTCAGGGACCCTGTGGGTGCCATCAGGGCAGGCCCTAAATCTGCATGTGTAAAACCCCTTAAGACAACACCAAGGGGGGGGGGGGGGGGGGAAGCACCAGTGTGACCCAAAGAGGGTTTGAATCGTCTTGCTGGGCTCTAGCCACCCTGGCTTCTGCTGGCACAAAATCAGACACCAGGCTCAAGTCCTGAAGGAGGGAGTGCACCACAGACTCTATTTACTGGCCAGGAAGTGGGTGTGGCCACACAGGGAGGTGGTGTGGACTGGATACCCTAAGACCGAGGGCACTGTCTGCCCTGCCCAAGTGTTGGAACAGCCCTCAAATCAGTGGGGAAGCTGTGGCTCAGTGGCGTTCACACCTGGGGAAGAAAAGCAGTGACCCCAATCTGAGGACCCCCCGGCCATACCCCTCCCTCACTGGCCTGGTCAACTTTCGGGCCTGTGGGCTCCCTGGTGGAGCAGGGCCAGGCACCCAGCTGGCGTGGAGCCCTTCACCTAGGTTTTACACCAGCAGAAGTCAGAGGGACCAGATCCTGATACCTCAACGGCTTCCTCTTTCACTCATTTATTTAAAGACCCCCAAAGCCATTAGGCCATGATGCTCATTTCCAGCTTGAAGAAATCAAACTCCTACTTTAAAAGGACTGTCAGCCAACATGTCTAGCCCCCACTGCTGGGTGATTCCTACCACCACAATTGTTGGGTCTCATCTTTTAAATCTGCTTACCACTCCTCCATACTCCATGCAGACCAGAGAGCGACACTAGCCTAGCCAATTTCTAGTCAGTGCCCGTTCCTGGTTCCCAGGCCCCAGCAGGACATTATAATGTCAAGCCCCTGCAAGGGAATATTTTGCTCCTGTATTTCTATTAATCACAGGGATTGTACAACTTGATTTTGGCCCGGCACCTCCTTTCAGGGCCTAAAATTCCTGAGTCTCCCTTATGTTCCAGACCATGAGAAACATCCTGTATGAACGCAGATTTCTTCACTCTAATATTTCCTACAAACATACAATAATTAAATGGTAGGAGCTCTTTTACCCATCATCGTCATCCGCTGAGACCCTGGGTTCTGTATTCCAGACCCCATGCTGAAGGGAGCACACACAGAATAACACGCACGGGGTCAACAAGTAGGCACACACACAGTGTACACACACTGTCACAATGACACACACACACCTCCTGAATGCACCTGTGCTCCTGCACACACAAAAATGAAGAGTCACACATTAATACATATGCACACACAGCATGCACAGATGCACACGGCATGCAAGCACACTAATACAATAAAACAACATGCACATACACTCAAATGCATGCACATCCACACACCCACACTCACACTCTCTCTCTCCCCCCCCAGAACTCCCACTGCAGATTCTGGTGTGGACTTCTCACCATCACTCCTGCTCCTCCTCCAGAAGCCACCTGCTGAGGAGCGTTTCAGGTGAAGTCCAAGCCCTGGAGCTGACGCAACTGGCAGGCTGATTTCCTATCTCAGTGATCTCCAGTCACAGGATCAGGCTTTATTTCTCCATCCTCCCTCCCTGCCTCTTACCCAAGAAAAGGGTGCTCTTCCCTCCCACTGGGGCCACTTGGCTTCCTGCTCTGCTGGGACCCTTTGTGAAACCATTTAAACAGAAGTTTTGCCCCACTCCTCACCACTGGGTCTGACCCTCCCAAAGTCAGAGCTGGCTTAGCCCACACTCTAGCTCCTGGACATGCTGACCCCTGAGACGCCTGGAGAGAGGGCAGTTCCCTTCATCCTGTCCTGAACTGTATTGCAGTATCAGCCTGCAATGTCTAGCAACTGCCACATTCCACCCCAGAGGTGGCTGCACTTCAGAGGCAAGCGAGGCAATCTCTGTGTGTCCCTCCTCTGCCTCCAAGGGGCATTAAGAACTTTAATTAATTAATGTTTGCTAGGCGCTTGAAGATCCTCAGATGAAAGCTGTGATGAGAGGGCGAGGGATGATTAATTATTATTATTACAGTTTAATCTTTACCCATGAAGGCTGCACCAGGGTTGATCAGGGGACTTGCCACATTTCGGAGGGACAATGAAACATGGGACATCACGCTCTGCGCATCTCCTCCCCCTTCATTTTTCTATTTCTCTCACTTTCCATTTCCTTTCCTTTCCTTCTCTCTCTCTCTCCTCTATTGGGACTCACCCAAGCACCTTCAGCTCTAGACCCACCTGGGCTCTGGCTCTTGGGCTGGGGATCTGGCATCTCCAGGCTCCTCCACTCCCTTTCGCTCAGGGAGTTTATTAGGCAAACGCTCTTGCCCTATTTCTGTAATTTTGTTTGATTTCTGTTTCACCAAGGGAGGTGCCCAGAGGCCTCGGGGCCTGGATGGCAGGAGCAGACAATCCGTGCTTTCTTCCCCTTTCCTGCTCTTTCACTCCTTTCTTCTCAGTTCAGTTTCAGTCGCTTTATTGGCATGACAAGCCCAGCAAGCACTGCCAAAGGGACGCTACCGAGTATCAGTGAGCAGGGTGGTGCTGTGCAGGGCCAATGGGCCTTGGCACCTGGGCATAGGTCATGCTACTTACTATTCCTTGGGCTTTA